TCCCCCCTCTTCCTCTTCCTCCTCTTCCTCCTCTTCCTCCTCTCCCTTCTCCTCTTCCTCCTCTTCCTCTTCTTTCCCTTCTTCCTCCTCCTCTTCCTCCTCCTATCACACCACATCCTCCCTCCAACCTTCTTCTTCTACTTCCTCCTCCTCCTCCTCTTCCTTCTCCTATCACGCCACATCCTTCGTGCCCGCCCATCTTCTTCCTCTTCCTCCTCCTCTTCGTATGGCGCCTCATCCTTGCTGCGCAGAATTATATTTCTTTCTGGTTCCTCCACCTCTTACTATATAAATTGGACCATTATTGTGTCCCTCCCGCATATTACTTCGTCGTTCGCTACGTTTCTCCCCCATCCTTCCCCCGCGCCTCCCCCTCTTCTTTCTGTTGGATCGTTTCTTCCTCTTCTAACATATTCTTCCTCCTTTTCTTCCCCATGACAAATACTACTTACCTCTTCACTTCACTCATCATCTCGAGCATTTAGGCGGCAGACATCATCAAACTTTCCTTCCTTATACATTGTCATTATCATAAATACATACATGCATATACACATACATACATACACACATACATATAGATAGACAGGCAGACAGACAGACAGACAGATAAATAAATAGATAAGAGAGAGAGAGAGACATAGATAACTATAGATTGACAGATAGATAGACATAGATAGATAGATGGATATCCGCTGGGTTTCGTTGTCCGCACCGGTTTGTGATTAAGAATGCTGAGCAGCTTTTCGTTGTCTCGAATCGCTCTCTCTACGCGGGCGTCGCTCTCCCCCGCTTGCTTGAGGTTGGCGGCGAAGGCGTTGGCTTTATCCCGCATGCCTTTGGTGAGATGCGATGACGTGGCCCGCGTCCATTTGGAGCCATACTGCCCTCTCATGTGCGCATCGTCTCTGCTCTCCCTTTCCAAAGTCTCTTCCGCCTGCGCCAGCATCTCCTCACACTGCCTCCTCATCTCTCGCAGCTTGGCCATCTCCGCATCCAGCGCCCTGGGCCCGCCCTCATTCTGCACTGCCTCCACGTCGTCTCTCAAGCCGTCAGGCAGCGGCGACAGCCCATCAAGCGCAGCTATGATTTCTTGCATCTCCATCTCCCTCAAGCTTGCCCTCGTTGCATCGCTCTCCTGCTGCAGCTTCTCCGTCTGCGTTCTGATCACCTCATCCACCATCTCCGTGTACTTGGACAGCGCCTTCGCGCTGCTGTCCGGCACGAGCGAGATGAACAGCTTGAGCCCCGTGGCGTCGATCACCTCCGCCATGCTCCAGGGCTTGACCAAGCAGGAGCTGGGGATGTCTGGCAATGTATCTGGCGGCGGAATGCGCATCAGATACACGCGGTCGTTCTCCTTTATCGCCCTCTCCAAGTTCCTGGCTATGGCGGCTTCGAGGCGCGACAGCGCGTCCAGCAAGGCGGGATTGACCCCCTTGCTCTGGCGCTTGGAGTCGGCGACGATCTGCTGCGCCGACTTCAGGCGCGCAATTTCTTCCCCTATGCACTCGTTCTCGTGCAGATCGATGGAGGCGCGGAACAGCGCCTGCGCCTGGAACTGCGCCATCTTGATCTGCACGTGCGCGACCCAGGGGCGGTCGAAGTGCGCCGCCAGCACCGGGCGCAAGAGCGCCACGTGCGCTTCCTCGTAGAACGACCCCACCTGCTTTGCCACCTTCGCGCACAGCATCGCGGGCCGGTTGTCCGCCACCACCTTCTCGAAGAAGCACTCCTGCGCTTGCGCCAGCATCAACCGCTCCAGCATCCCCGCGCACTCCACCGACACGTCCACGCTCGCCGCCGCCGATCCCGACGTCGCCTTCATCGACACGTTGTCGCGCAGGTAGGCGAACGCGCCCGCCGCTGTCTGGAAACAATGGCACGCGGCTTTCAAACCGGCGGGAGTGGATCTGTCTGCCGCCAACCCCAGCTGACTCTGCACCGCGCCGATGTTGAAGATGACCGCCGCTTTCTCGAAATGGATGTTCTGAAGAGAAGTCTTCCATCGCTGCTTGAACGCGTCGTACCAGACGAAAGAGACTGTGTGCACGTGCTCCTTCTCAGGGCTGATCGGGAACCTAGTCTCCATTAACGTCAAGGCCTTGAAATAACGCTGAAGAAGATCTCGACGAGCCTCCAGGGTGTCCGCCTGCTTCTCCACCTCAGAGCGCATCTGGTGCACAGCGTGCAGATCGTCGTCTGCGTCCTGAGCCTCTCTCTCGGAAAAATGCTGCACCACGTATTGCTTCAACGGCTTGTACAAATCCACCGGCAGCGTCTTCTTCGCGTGAATCGCCAACATCACATTCACTGGCGCATTCGTTCCCGCCATCTCTCTCTCTCTCTCTCTCTCTCTCTCTCTCTCTCTCTCTCTCTCTCTCTCTCTCTCTCTCTCTCTCTCTCT